AATACAGACAATAAAAGAACAGCAAATTCATTTAACTTGTTGATCACACGAAAGAAAAGGACGAAAAAAAATTTATCTCGATTCAGTAAAAACTCATTTTTGCAGTTATATTTAGATACTATTTAATTATATTAGTTCTTAATCATAGGTGGAATTCTACCTTCCATCGTCTTTCATTATCTTTGATGATTAATTTGTTTGTTTCTGATGAATATAAAATAAAAAATGAAATAAAACGTTAAATCATTTTACGTATCACTCTTCCACAACTTGATAGTTTTGTCGTTTTCAAGAGCAGCTGATGCAATGATATTCTCAGTGGGATGACAGGCAGTACACAAGACTGTGTCGGTATGACCTTGAAGTCGTTGTACTATTTCTTTACTTTGCAAATTCCAAATGTAGACCATGTTGTCTTCACTTCCTGATACAATCCACTACAATACAATTTTGAATTTAATATCAATCGAGGGAAATATTAAAAGAAATTTTTTTCTCACCTTTCCACCAGTAACGGAGAAATTTGCAAAAATACAATATCGTTCATTTTTATGTCCAGTGTAAGTCTTCAAGCATTTTCCTTTCGAATAATCCCATAACTTCAAAGTGTTATCGAGAGTAGCTGCAAGAATGTACTTTCCGTTTGGTGAAAACTTTACGAAGGAAACTGGAGGGTTGTCGTCATCGATGAGTGTTTTCAAACATTGACCACTTGCAGTATCCCATATTCTGCATAAACCATCATAGCTTGATGATACAATGAGAGATCCATCACGATTGAAATGAACAGCTGAAACTGGATCAGAATGAGCTGGTAAAGTTTTCAAACATTTTCCAGTTCGAACGTCCCATATGCGAACAGACTCATCAAAGCTTCCAGATACAATAAGATTACTTTGCGGGTTGAAATTGCAACAGAACACGTAATTACTGTGACCTTTTAAAGTTTTTAGGCTTTTTCCACTGCTTAGTTCCCAAATTTTCAATGTTTTATCATCGCTAGCGGTAACCAAAAGACGACTGTCACTGCTCCATGCAACATCACTGATACCCAACTTGTGCCCGGCTATGGTCTTCTCAAACTTTCCATCATAAGCACCCCAAATCTTTATCAACTTATCAGCGGCTGTAGATAAACAAATAATAAGACAATTGTTAAAGTTAGGTTAGCTGCAATGATAGGAGGGAAAACGTAATTAACATCCTTACATGAACTTGCAAGCCATTCACCATTGGGACTGAACTTCACGGCTGATACTGCTTTCATGTGACCAGCAAGCGTGAATTTCAAAGTATAATTTGGTTTCTAAAATCGAATGTAAACATAATAAAGTATTGTTAAGTGAATAAATTAATGTAAACTTACAAGAGACGCTGATTGACGATTTGAAGACTGTTGTTGAGTATTTTGTGCTGGTGGAGGAACATTTTGAAGAGGAGGCCCTCCATGCATTGGATGAACTGGTTGCATTTGACTCGGGTGGCCTGGCATCATCATTTTAAAAGTTTTATATTTTTTTTCTCTTTACGCTCGTAGAAATTAAGATGTTGAATCGAAATCGACTAAACTATTAATGAAATTCGTTAAAGTCCAAATACTTAGCACATTATCTTTCAATTTATAATATTTTAAAGCTTTGATTCTGTGTAAATGTTTCAATTATGTGATTTAATAATATTTGTTTTGAGCTTCTGGCATCGCACAAAATACAATCGAAATTATTCGAAAACTTTCGAAACACATTTGACAACGTAGCATTTCTTTCGATTTTTCGATAATTCGTATTTTCTAGAAAAGACAAATATTTATAGCTTATAATGAGAGAAAAAGTATAATGAGATGAAAACTAAACCAAGAATTTTGTGATTTTCAACTTAAACGGCTCCATTTTCAAAGGAAAGGAGATAAATAATAAAAAGTTTTTATAAAATTAACGAAATATTTCAGTTTAAAATTCATATCTTCGAATCACCATAAATCCGAAAAAGTCAAGTACCCCCCAGTGTCTTTAAATAGCCTGAGTTTTTGTTTATGATGTCTCGAGATATATGCCTCGTACCCCGACGGTTCGCGCGGATTTGACCTTCCATACAAATTTTTCAAAATTTCTCCGCGTAAACATTTTGTCCGTGTAAACATTTCGATCGTAGCGCCGCCACTGAAACGTCCTCGGACAAAAGATCAATCAAGTTACTCTGATTCCGTACGTTCACAAATTTGCCACCGGGGCTACTGAAATCAGGTGGAGTTCTTTAAAAAGATAATACAAAAATTCAATATGCCGCTCAACCCAGTTCAGGTGAGATTATTGGATAGTTGTCTATGCAGTCTGTTAAGTCAAGCTAAATATTTCTCAAGAATCTATTATATTTATGCAATCCTTGCAATTGTTAGAGAAAAATAATTTTCATGCGTTTTGGAAAGTCACTTTGTCCGGTGATTTTTCTTTCATGAAAACAATAAAAAATATAATTTACTCTTTACAGAACGCAATTGAGCCGATGCAGGTTGATGTGCAACCAGAAGATAATGAAAACAACGAAGAAGAAGTTTTCATTGTTGAGGAACCGTCACTGGATCTCGAAAGCTATGCAAATTCTTATCAAGGACTTGCAAAGCTTCATCGGTTAATTTTTATTGCTGATCATTGTCCAACATTGCGATTAGAAGCAATAAAATTGGCAATAACCTACGTCACTAACACAACATATAACGTCACCATGTACCAGTTACTTCACAAGAAACTTGCTGATATGGCCCAGCCGGGAGCTCAACAACCTCTTCCTGATGTTGCCTCACAATCTTTAAACACTCAAGACATACCACCTTATGATTCAATGTGGGTTGAACAAAAAACTAAAAAGGCTGCTCTCAAACTCGAGAAATTAGATAATGAACTGAAAAATTCAAAATCGAATTCAATTAAAGAGAGCATCCGAAGAGGACATGATGACTTAGGTGATCATTATCTGAGCTGTGGTGAGCTATCGAATGCATTAAAATGTTATTCACGCGCTCGAGATTATTGCACAAGTGGACGGCATGTTGTGAATATGTGTTTGAACGTCATCAAAGTCTCAATTTACCTTCAAAACTGGTCGCACGTTCTAAGTTATGTATCAAAGGCTGAATGTACTCCAGAATTTTCAGAAGCACAGAACCGTGATGCTAATCAAGCTACATTGACACGTCTCAAATGCGCAGCTGGTCTTGCTGAGTTAGCAACGAAGAAATATAAATCAGCAGCCAAGCATTTCTTGCAAGCAAATTTCGATAATTGCGACTTCCCAGAAATGATTTCGTCTAACAATATTGCAGTTTATGGAGGTTTGTGTGCACTAGCAACGTTTGATCGTCAGGAGTTACAAAAAAATGTCATTTCAAGTACGTCGTTTAAGTTGTTTCTTGAGTTAGAACCTCAAGTGCGTGATATCGTCTTCAAGTTCTACGAATCCAAATATGCTCAATGTTTGAAATTACTGGGGGAGATGCGCGACAATTTGCTTCTCGACATTTATATCGCTCCACATGTTAATAAGCTTTATACGAAGATAAGAAATCGAGCTCTCATACAATATTTCAGTCCATATTTATCAGCCGACATGAGAAAAATGTCTGAAGCTTTCAATTGCACTGTCCCCGCATTGGAGAATGAAATCATGCAATTGATTCTTGATGGACAAATTCAAGCACGAATTGACTCACATAACAAGATTTTATATGCAAAAGATGCTGATCAACGCAGTTCAACTTTCGAGAAGGCAATTAATGTTGGGAAGGAATTTCAAAGACGAACTCGAATGCTTATTTTGAGAACAGCGATGTTGAAAAAGCAAATTCATGTTAAGGTTTGTTTATCTATAGAATTGTCTTAAAAAATATTTTAATTTATTTTTCTTCTCTTCAGGTTCAAGCACGTGAAGATGTTGCATCGTCAATTCAACCACAATCTGTTCGCAATTAGCAATCACCACAACAATCAATTTATTCTCGAGTTATGCAACATTGGTTCTGAATGACTTAAACATGAAAAGATCAAAAGTTGTCACAGAGAAGAAAACAGCATAAAGAAATGTTTTTATTTAAAAGAATATCTAGACTCGTGTTTCTTTAAGAAACAAGAAAGAAATTGCTGAAGATGACAACAATTCTCTGTTAAAAACAATTTTTCGCTTTCTCAACTGTCACAATTTTTTTTTCTTTGTTCTGAAACAGCAAATTTCTCACAAGAAAACCTCAACCAACATTCTTCATGTTTTTCAATTGAACCTTCTCTGTAAACTTCCCAGCACTTTTAAATAATGCTGTATGGAAGAAAAATCATTAAAAATGAAATAAAATGTAAAGATAATAAATTAATTGTTTAAATCGGAATATTCTTTTTATTTAAATCTAAAAAGTTATTTTTATGTTTTATGTTAGAAAAGTGAGATGAAAATTTCCACAAAGTAATAAAGCAGAAAAGAAGTTTTATTCAATTCCATACAATTTTAGTGTTCGATCCATGCTTGTTGAAGCTAACCATTGAGCATGTCTTCCAAATTTCACACCAGTAGCTGCAGCTGTATGATCGTTGAAGACTTTCAACTCTGTCCACTGTTTACACAAGTAAACTCTGAAATAATTCATTTTAAATAAGTTTTGTACATTCCTTCATTTAAAATTGTGTTTTGTCTTACCTGATGTCTGTTCCAGCTATGGCTAGATATGTTCCACTTTGATCGAAGCATAAATCTTTGACTTCGTATCCATCTTCCAATTGAATTGTTTTGAAGTTCTTCAACTTTCTCAAATCCCATAATTTAACACAAGAATCAGCTGCTGCAGTTGCAAGATAATAACCGTTTTCTGAGAAAGAAATCGCGCTGATTTCACCAATATGACCAGGGAAGTTTGCAACATTGCTTTGTTCTTTTAAGTCCCAAATTAAAACTTGAGCGTCTTCTGTGCCAGTGCCAAAAATTAAACCGTCAGGATGGAATTGAGCTGCTGTCAAACCACGTTCAGATGAATCCAAATTCTTTGTTAATAATCTTCCAGTACGTATGTCAGAGAACGCCCAATATTTATCCTGTGATGTTGAGAGAATATAATCACCAGTAGGATGAAGTGACAGTCCAGTCACTGGACCTTCATGACAACGGAGTAAAAGTGTTGTTTGAGAACTGCAAGAAATAAATAGAAGAAAAAAAAGCAAATGAAACATTGAATAAAAGTAAGAAAAACTTGTCAACTTACGTTGGAACGTTCCAGATTCGTATAGAGGAATCGGGTGAACCAGTTATGACAGTGTTCTCGTCAGGATGATAAATAACTTTTGTCACTTTCTTTGTGTGGCCTTTCAGAATGGCAACAACTTGTTCCGTATCTTTGTTGAAAATCGTCGCATTTTTATCATTTCCACCTGTCAAAATTTTGCTGTTATCGCTACTATTGATGTCTAATGCTAAAATTCCAGGGACACTTGCTGAATGAAGTCCAGGATGTGATGAAAGTGTTAAGAAACCACGAAGTTTCTCAGCACTGACTAACTCTTCTGGAACTGTTTTTCCTTTCTTCTTTCTTTCTTGAGTTAAAACTGTAGCTTTGTCTTGTAATTTCTGAATAACTTCGTCACTCATTCCAGCTTGTTCAACCGGTTGCGATGCAAAGCCTGGTGCTTCTGGTGCCATTGTAGGCTGCTGAATGACAGTTTGCATGGATCCGATTCCAGATTGTGGTTTTAATGTAGCCAAGGCTTCTCTTGCAGCAGTGACTTCTTTGTTTAAACGGGCAATAACACGACAAGCAGCATCATGTTGATAGAGGGCATGTGAAAGTTCTTGCCTAGCTGTTTGCAACTGTTGTCGTTGAGTGAATGCATGAAGCATTAAAACATCCCATTCGTCTTGCATCATTTTTAAAATTGCTGGAATACTTGTAGCGCTTGGTGGCTTTGGTTTCAATACAGGTGGAGCTGAAATAGTAAAATTTGTACTTACAAGTTAACTACATTAAAGCTTAATTGATTCTCGACTTTACTTTTGATTTCGATGAGCTCTTCAACTGTTAAATCCTTTCCAGATATCGGGTCAACACCATTGTCTTGTAGGTATTTTTCAATTAAACGCCTCTCAAAAATTGCTCCTGAACTCGGTGATATCACCGGCACATCGGGAATTTCATTAGAAACTTAAATAAAAATTCACAAAATCAGTTTGTAAACAAAACATTAACCTTAAATAATTTTAAAACGAAAATTTTTGACTAAATTCACTTATAAATGAAGCTAAAATAAGTCACAAACGTTCATAGCTTACTTGCACAGATGAGAGACATTTCTTAACACTTAAATTAGAGTAATTTCACTTTAAATCAATTTTTTAAAGCAAACGATTTTAGCCGTAATATTGAGAGTTAGTTTCTAAAACTGAAAGTTAGTTTCAGGTGGAGAGTGTGAAATCTTCCCAATGACAAAATCATTCGGAATTTCTCAGTTTTTTGCAGTCCACTTTGTATGAAAAACTGTTCTTCCGATCCGCGAGAAAACTACCGACGGTCCCTTCGAAGTTGTGTTCGAGGGGATGGAAAGTGAGTCAGTTTTTAATTTTGAACTTTAACCGTTAAATTTTTGCTTACATGCGTAGAGAATCAATTGATTGGATTTAAGGTCGAGGATATAATGTTAAATAAATGCATCAAAAATGTATTTTACTTAAAATAAAGTCATACATTTCAGTACTTTTTTTCTCATGCCGTAGAATAAGAAAATTTCCCCTCATATTTCTCAAATGCTCAAATGAAAAGAAAGATTATTTTCTTTCTCAGCTATGTAGGTATTTACAAGAGAAGAAAACATATTTATTAGGACTCAGTGTTGATCGATTTAATGGAGCAATGATTTTTTTTTTTAGACTTAGATTTAAAAAGATAACACGGAAGAATAAAATTTGTTTACTCATCCGCATTGAACAAAGTTCATTTAAAACTGTGTTATTGGCTTTTACTTAATGTTTTGACTCGACATTTGCTTAAAACATTGTATCAGTTTAATGTAAATTTTATTTACGCCGAAAGCAAAACTTTTTCTAGAAAAAGCGAAAATGATGACAAATATTTGAAAACTAATAAATATTTGAAACAAATTGGATTGCATTAAATAGATAAGCAGTTAGGTATACATATTAATTAAAAGTAACTAACTTAATAAATAGCTGGTACAGATTCTCCCAAGTTCCAACAATTCAATGTTTTAGAAAAAAAGTAGTTGATGTATCTCATCTGTCACAATAATTTTTCTTCGTCTGTCACTGTTGTGTTAAGACTCTCATTCCAGTTTAAAAGACTTTTTAGAGACACACTTGCAACATCTTCGTTCTTTTAATTCTGAAAATTTATTTATAACTTTAAAACGCGACATAAGAATACGTTGAACTCATGTTTTACTATGTAGCAGAAAAGAACTCATCAAGAAATTGTCTGAAAATACTCTGAAGGTAAACATAATTATGATAATAATAATAAGTCACCATGAATTTTGGATCAAAACCATCGTGAATAAAATTAACTCATGTTTTATAAAAAGTATTTCATGTCCGCAAAAACTAAAAAGAAATCTTGACGTTTTTCATTTGATTCATTGTTAAATCACTTGAATTCATTTAAAAAAGTTCTTTTTCTATATGTCTTCCTTTCTCTTGGATGAAAAACAAAAAGTTAAAAATAGGTCTCACTTAACTTCGTCGCACATTTTCATCTACCCTCGACTGACAATCGTTCAGAATTATGTGATCTTTTGTGTCATAAATTTCGTCTCCATAGTCACCATCTACATTAACGGAGCACAGAAAAAATTAAGAGACACGCGTGCTGTTTTTTAAATATCTAGATGAATTTTTTTATAATTATAATTTCAAAATCAAAGTAGATTAAATATATTTCATTCTAAATCTGGAACAAACTCTCACAAAACATATTTAATCTTATTAATCGTTAATTAATTTTAATATGGCAAATATACTAGATAGGTAGTTGTAAATATTAAAACAAACGAACAGATTTATTTTTATTAATTAGATATTTAATAGTTAGGTAACTATAAATCATTCATTCCTTTCAGGAAAACTCTCCTGTAAATATTTTTTTTCGATCTTTCCACACAAATATGTAATACGAATAAAATGTTGATCTAATTCAAAGTATGTTGCATGTCTAGTAAATGCAACATGCTATCACACGAAAATCTTACGTAATCTATTTATAAAGCACTTTTGACAAATCCCCTGAAAAAAAAATAAAAAGATTCTTGTTTTGGGTTTTTTATTTTTATTCAAGTTTTTATTTATTTTTATTTCTTTTGTGAATGATTTACTGATGAGGAATTTCTTACCCATCAGTTCATTTATAAATAATTAAATTGAGTTAAAATATTTAAATACAGGTATAATAAGTAATTATGATTTTAATTTTAGAATAATAAGTACAGCATAGTTATTGAATTTCCTTATCTTGCAGTTTTTAGAATAAATTTAAGTATTGTTTTCTTGTTATAATTTTTCTTAACACCTACAAAAATATTGTTTCATCTTTTTGCGCCATTTTCCATTATTTTCTTAACTTTTTATTCATTTTTTTTCATTTGTCATTATAATGTATTAATATGTAGAATAATATTACATATAAAATAATTATGCACTTAATATTTCCTCCGTTCGTTAACCTGAATAATATCTTCGATCCATTAGTAAAAAATGTGATGCTTTCTTTCATTTCTGTTCATTGTCATTTCGATTCTTCTCATTTTTTTAATTTAACTATCTAAAAGTGTTTTATGATTTCCTCTGAACTTTGAGATATTAAAAATATATGTTTTTCAATCTTTGTTAGCATTTTTTTAGCTATCGAATAGAGAGCTTTGAAAATTTAAATCCTTTGAACAAGTGCTGTTATTAAATCTGTGCAATGATTATTGAGTATTGAACGGACAATAATTAATGTTAGGCCTTTGGTGGATCCTAGTAACTGTCCAGTTCATATCTTCAAATTATCAGATATATTTTGGTGGTCTCTTTATAGGTTTTTATTTTATCTTAAATATCTAAAATATTTCTTTTTAATGTGTATAAAAGTCTTAAATTTTAAAAATGATTTTATGAAAGTTTTTTTTTAGAAAAGTTTGTTAACATTTTTGTTTGTTCGATTTTTATTTGTTGTAAGACATTTCTAGTCTTAAGAAAAAATAAAACAAAATTTAACTTTGCGTTACACGTTGAAACTTGAACAGAAACTTCGTTTTGACAAACTACTTTTTGATATGAAGATAGGCCGAATGATGATAGCAAAAAATTTTCCGGTTCGAAAGAAAAAAAGTAAACCAACTTGTTATGTTTATGCGTTGATATGCACAAGATAAAAGTTTATTTGTGATAAAAGACAAGAGGAAAAACCTCCTTAATCGAGTGATATTTAAAAAAAGGAATTCATTATCATGAATAATTAGATATTTAGTTAAAAAACTTTTTGAGCGCAATTTTTCTTGTCTTACAATCTCAAAGTCTTTATTTCTATTAGAATTTTGTTAAGGGTAGAAAACTTTGTAGACCTTGTAACCTAATTAAGGATTTTCTTTGCCTTCTCACGTCTTTATCTCGTAAATATTCACTTTTTGTCTTCTCAAAGCTTTTCTTTTTTCGGTCAATTACAAGAAAACAAAACAAACAAAATAAATTGATATAATAAAATTGACTAGATTTTTTATGTTTTGATGGGAAAATTATGATTTAAGTCACAACTATATTTTCAAGCAGTTCATCTTTCGAATATTAATCAAAGAATTTTTATTCAAAAACTTATTTGCAATTTAGTTTTTCAGTTCAAATCAAAAATGTGTCAGAGAGAAATTGAATAATTAGCATGTTTGAGATGATTGATATTGAATTGTAGACAATTTCATATATTTTCATTCTTTGTTTTTGGTTTATTAAAAAAAAAGGTAAATGTATTTAGCTTGATTTGAAAAAACATTGATGCAATTGAAATTTTTTCTTTAATAATATCACTAAAATTATTTTACGATTACTCTTAAATGATATTTTATTAGCTTATAAATTAGATATTTATTCTTGTCGCAGATTCTTTTCACAACATTTTACGATCAATTTCGCAATGGTAAACTGACTAGTAGCGCCTTCCCTAGAAAATATTCTACCTTCTTATTCATTTTCCCTTTGCATAAAAGTTAAAGTGTTCATTGCAGTTATGAAAGAAAATTAAGTTAATCTTGAACATTTGCACTGGGTTGTAAAAGCGATACATTTCATCTTGACCAAAGTGCCAAGAAACAAAACAAAAAAAAATAGGAATATGATTTCAATTAAAAAATCTTTGGTTTTGCCTTCATTTTTCTCTTTTGAATTACAAAAATCTTTAACATGTAAATTAACATTTTTTTAAATCTTAATTTGAGCTTCAAATTGTTTGAGAAATTGTAACAAATTTTTAAATTAGTCAGTTGTTTACTTTTTAAATTGTTTTAGCTTCTGTTAATTAAGATTGAATCAGTAGGCAGCCATAGAGAATGACTTAATCGTTGAATATATTTGATGAGATTGTCTTTAAAGTTGTTAAGTAAATCGCACAATATTATATTTAAGTACGATGATTCCGCAGGATTTATTTAGCATAGAAGACACATAACACTTTCGATTCCTTAAATATTTAAAGAATGATGTTGTATTGACTTGAAAGTTAAAATTATGTTATGTGAACTATGCAGAGATTCACGTATGTAGTTTCGAATAGATTAAAACGAAACGAAAAAGAAATCGGAAGTGATTTTTCGTATTTCTTCATTTCATTTACAAATGAAAATAAAAAATCATATTCGTGTTACCTAACAATTAAGTATAAATAATGAATAGGCGATAATTGAACGTTTTCAATAATATAAGTATGTAAGAGACGAATTATTATTTTATTATTTAATTCTAATAAAGATCTTGAGAGTTAACACCTAGCTTGATTACGTTTAGGAAATTATTTCATGTTATTTGTTTCCTTCTCTCAATTTCTGTAAAAATGTAAATAAGATTAAATATCAATAATAAATTATCAAGTGAAATTTATCTACTTAAACAATGAAGATATTTCTTTTTTTTTTTTTTTGAGAAAGTAATTTTTACGTAGTTTATCGACTTCAGTTCTATGTAAAATAAAATTAAGCTGGTGATGTTGCTTCACATTGAAAAGCATCTAATATGAAAGGATTTTATATTATGATAGTGAAACTGATGATTCGTTTTTGCTTTGTCGATGTTTTAGTTACCATTATTGAAGACGAGCTTCTTGCAAGCTGGCATTGGCAGCGGCGGCATTCTGATAAGGTAAGTTTGTAAGACCATTGAAAGCACCTTGTTGTGGCAAAGTTGCGTATGCGCCATATGGTGTCATGTAACCTGTACCTGCATTGCCTGTACCAGCTGATAGAAATAACAAATATTTTAGAAAACTTTTAAAACTTTGTTTTTGTGACATCAAAACTCACCTGTAGCAGCAGCAGCGGCAGCATATGGATATGCTTCAAAACTTCCGTATTGCCCCGGGAATGGTGCGGCTGTTGCGGCTAATGCATTCTGTAATAACACGGAATTTATACGAAAATTAATGTTATGAAACCAACATAGGTACTTTAAATTTCATTTAATAAATTTCTTTAATGGATATTTTTTTTCATGAATTGAGAGTTGTGACGAAAAATCAAAATCAAAAGAAAAACTTAAAGAAAATACAAGAAACCCAAAAAAAAATCAAATAAACAAACTCACCTGATATTCATAAAATTGGCTTGTGGCCGCAGCAAGAGCAGCAGCATGACTCAATTGTGTAGCAGCTGGTATTTGCATAGCGAGTCCAGCAGAAGCTGCTTGGTTTTGTGTGGCAGCAGCAGCACCCAAGTATGGTGATCCATAGATATAAGATTGTGGCACACTTTTTTTAGATCAATTCAACATTCAAGATCAAGTATTTTTTATTTTATTTTTCAGATCACACAACCAACCGAAACATATAAAAAAAGAGAGTTAAGAGTAAATTAGTGAGTAAAATCTTTCCAAGAAAATAAATCCAATTAAATTCAAAAAAAAATTCTCAACATATCTAAAAGTTATTTGAAATATAATATTATAGGAATGCAACGGTGTCCAAGTGTCAACGCCTAGAGACACTATTNAATTTTCGTCACGCTTAGTGTCACGGTTATGGGACATCAAAAAATTTTATATGAGCAAAATTTTTCTGAGTATGCCTTGAGTTAAACAAACTTATTAAGGCGAGGAAAATTAAACTTATAAAATTGAAAACTATTAAAATAAAGGGTTATTAATCTGTGATAATGATCTTCCACAATTTGAAGACAAAATACACTAAATAATACAGAGATTTATTAAAATTGCTAAGTTTTATGCGAAAAAAATCTCAGTAATCAATCATTTTTGCTCATTTTCAGTGTCCCAAGGCGATGGTCCCGAGGCGTTGCAATCGTCCCATGACCGTTGCGTTTTATTTTCAACAATCACAGGCATGCCGTTGAATCTTAACTTCTAATAAAGCATGAATAGATAGCTGATTAGTTAAGTGATCTTTTGGTCGTAAAATAAATCTTATAGTTAAAAGGGATCAAAAGATATTACGATTGAAAGTCAAAAAATGATTTTTAGGTGTCCCTAAGCGTTGCATTGCCCTACTTTTATTTTTTTGTGTTTTTTACATATCTAATGTTGTAAGTATTACAATGATAGTAAAAATTATTAATAAAAGAGTTTCACGTGATAGATAGATGGCAAGAGATAGGATGAAAGAAAAAAAAATTACAAGTTTTCAAGGAAACCACAAATATGTGAAATGAAAATAAAAAATATGACATTTGATTCGAGTTTGTTGTGTAAACGTGAAATTATGTAGATAAACAAAAATTGTAAAATAATTTTATGTATGAAAGTCGCATAAGTGCATTTAATTGTAGATACTGAAGCAAAACATTTTTTGTCATGGAAACTTCACTTGCATTGTATGTCCGCATTTCATGTTTTGTCATATGTCGATCGCTTTGCTTTTAACTATCATGAATATTAACCTATTTACACTTATAGCATGTCAGCTACTTTTATCACCCATCTGAATTTATGGAATAAAAATTAATGCCTTTACGTCAGTGACGAGTGACAAGAGTCGTCAATACGTTGGTCAATCATCGATCAGAAAATATGATTTTTAGGTTTTATCCTGAGATGCGAACATTATGAAGGGAATAAGTTGAACGTATGAATGTGGAAAAGAAATAATAATAACAATTCAATACTAACAACTTATAAAATATAGAATCGATCGATAAATCGCTGGTCAATGGGCCAAACAACGTTAAATATTAAAGAACTTCGGAAAGAAACAGAGAAAAGAACAAAAATAATATCGGGTAGTCTACAATGCTCGCTCACATGTGTTTATTGATTTGAATAATTTATTGATGTTTTGTGTTTTTACTCTGAAGTTTTCTATGTGTTTTTGACTTGATTACACGCCACAATTCTTCATCGACCTCCCTCCAATAATGATGGACAGTTGAGTTCATTTAATGATAATTACCCCTTTCCGTCCACTATCGTTCAACCATTTTTCATGTAGGTGAACAAAAAATAAATATACATAGTCAGAAATAAACTGAACTAGCTACGTTTCCATACGAACTCGATTCAAAAAAGCGACCTTACAACGATTTACTGTTTTTCCTAGCAGTTATCATTCTGAATAACTTTTTGTTCCTGTTATGAAATTTGAAATTAAAACTTTGTTCTTTTTTTGCTTTGATAAGTACTTTTGCAAATATTATTCATTGTGGTTCGAGTCAATTAAAGATTATTAAATATTTCTTTAGAATTTATGATACTGAAATTTCAACAGCATATCAAGAACATATTTAAGTGATCATAAACCTATCTGTTGTCTTTTTGGCTTATTTTAATTAATATGCAGGATTAAATGATAATAAAATTGTTTACATATCTACTTTACAACAACAGATTTTAATACTAATAAAGTTGTAGAGAAATCTCAGCAGAAAATAGTAAAATATGTTGTAAAATGAATTCATGAATAGATAATGTTCTAACACTTTCTTAAACGTCAAATGGAATTTTCTCTCCCTTGCTTTTACCTTTTGGTTGGGAAACCTAATCAAATGAATAATTTAAACGTCAAATAAAAAAATATGCTGATGGGGAAAAGAATTTGATGGGGCGACATTTCAAACACGACGCTATTCAACAAGCAATCGAAAGACAAATTTATCGTGACAAGTATGTCCAGTTGTTTCATTTCATGACATTTTATGATGAAACTAATTTTTCCCACAATATTAAAAGCAGTACATATGTATGTCACCTTAGTGGCAATAACCGATTCATAATGCTAATGAAATCATTTTACGTCAAGCCAAAAAGCAAAAGTATTTTTATACTTGTCTATCTATTTATACAAAAATATTTTTTGAATATTTTGACATAATAAATTTTTCGCCGCTTAACTATCATTTATTTCTTGCTACTTTTATTTTTCTTTTTGACAAACACTTTCAGCCAATCACTGCTTGGCACGGTGCTGGAAATATTCGCGCATGACATGAGAAAAACAATCGAGAGGGAAGAAGAAAACATAAACTCTCAACAAGCATATCTATTCAATTTTAACTTCAGCTGTTACTTGATAAAAACAAATCTTTTGTTTTACAAATGGCGAGGAACGTTTTATTATAGTCTACAATATAAGACGATTTGTCTATTGTTTTAACACCTTGTTTTCTCATTGTAATATCTTTGTTGAAAATCAACTTGTTTATTGTCACGAAGGCATTTGAATGTGGGCGGGGTGGAAATGTTTGACAATATCAAATTGAAACTGAATGTGATTATTAACTTCTCTCGAGAACTTTCTTTTTAAAGCAAAGACAAAGGAAGAAATAAAGTACGACAGTTTTTATGAAGATGCATCTATTTTAAGAAAATCAGAGCGTTATAAACTCATTTTCTTTCTACTTTTTGAAGGTATTTGTAAGATGTGAAAAACAAGACAAAACATGAATATCTATGAGTAAAACTCCCCGGAAGTGTTGAGTTGCTTCTAAAATAAGATTTAGCTCGTCAGATTTTTTCAAATTATGAATTTACTTATGATTAAATGAGAAATATGTGACTGAAGGTAAGATCATTTTATTGGAAACAGAGAATAAAAGCAAAAAAGGAAAACGTGACACACAGAAAAGAGAAAAAATTTCAAAATCCTGGAAAACGTGATTTTAATCAACACTTCACCATTTTGTTCCAATTTTCAAGCACTCACACAGCAAACATTGAAACATTTAATCGCGAGATTCGAAGGAAATTAAATAAATCCACCACTCGTCACATCACGCAACGTACCTAATTTACGAAGCGAGACCTTTGTGTTTTTCATTTGAGTTTTCTTTCACTCATCAAGAACAACGTTCTGAAGGCAAGAAGAGAAGGAATTTGTGATGATGTGTTCGTGTGTATCATTTGAGATTTTTTTTTGGCTCTGATTCAAAAATAGAACAAAGCTATTCAGTCTTAACCACGACGTTACCTAATCAACTGAAAGAAAAAACAAATATCGTCTAGAATGGAAGGGAAAAAGGGAGAAGAAAAAATGATTTTAAGTATTTTGGTAGCACTTCTCATCAATGTTATGAACTACACAAATATCGTAATTTTCTTCTTCATAATTTATTGTTAAAGCAAAAAGAGCAGCCGAAAGCGATAACAGCAAAACCGATTTTTTGTTTGGGGTCTTGAAGTGGAAGCACTTCTTAATAATGAAATAATTCAGTTATACGAATAACTCTCGCATGAAAATTAACACATGGATCATAAAACCTCCCATTTCAAGTGTGCACACTTTTAGAGAATGATTTGTGAAACTCATTCGGATTATAATTGGAGCATAAAATTTTTCCAAAAAATATTGTGAAGGATTTTATTGCTAGAGTAATTCTATGATATATGACAGTGGTGATGGGTTCAGTCGGATTTAGGCACCACAGTCAAAGACTTTCATGATCGCTTACGGCGATCAATTATGCATGTTTATATCAATTTTACTGTTGCTTGAATAATTTCACTTTTTTTCATGGCTACCTTACTCCCGTTTTTTTTACTATCATGAAATTTATTTGCATTTAAAGCTGTTAAATAAAATAACACCGGAAATTTGACGCAAAACGTGTAACTTATGGAAATGATATTCGCACAAAAATTTCTGTTTTTAAAACTGTTTCAGAACAAAAAACTTTTTTTTTGTTTTTTGAAGTTGAAATTCAATTTCATTGCGCGAATGAAATTGAATCATAATAAATGTTGAATGTAATTTTTTCATGACCGCATGAGAAACAATGAAATAGAAAACCGTAGATGTTTAGATAAATAAAAAAAAAATATGGAAGAAAAATTTGGGTTAATTGAGTTAATTAGACAACTGTTCTCTAAAGCAACAAAATTTAAAAAATATTAAAAGTTAAGATTATGTGTTAGGGTTATGAGTCTATCCGAACAACATAGAAGTTCAAGCCAACTAAATACAAACAACATATGAATGAATTTCAAATAAATGATTGTGTTCCGAGTTTAGAAAATATGGAGTTAAACTTTCTTTTCGCGCTAATTAAAGGCACTGATCTTTGTAGTTGATCAAAAAACTTGTACGATCATCGTTTGATTATCTCTAAATTTTAAATGTTCTATATCAATGCCATAAAAAAGTAGATTTCAATCTTTACATTTGTTGAAATCGTTTAGAAGCCGTTTGTGATAGCCTTAACGTTCATTAAAAAACCTTGTTGAACTTTCTAAGAATGAAATCATCAAAATTTAATTGGAAAATTCGTAAACTCTTCACAAGAAGTCTTCATATTTACAATGCTTACTTTGGCTGTTCTTATTTTGTCATCTTTTTGAGGCTTAAAATATGACTCAGAAATATTATTCTAATAACTTGTCACATGCTTTCGTAATCATTATTTGACATAGATCAAGAGGGTTAAATAAAAATTCAGAAGCAGAAAATTATTGTGAATATCTTTTTTATAAAAAAGTTAAAAATCATCTGAAAGTTTACTCGTCTGCACACAATTAAAGGAAATTTATCGATCGCAATTAAAAGAAAATCTTTTTTTTTCACTCTCATCAGCTAAATATAAAAAAAAAGTTGAAGAAAGATCTTCCGGGGTGATTTGCGACAGGAAAATTTTCAGCCATTAAAAAAAGTCAGCTCAAAAAATATTTTGGCTTATTTTAGTTGATAGATCTAGTGGAGAGTCCGTCCGGGGGTTTTTGGACCGTAAAAGCTAAAACAATTTTCTAGTTTGTAATTTGTCACGATCTGTACAAAAACATTTTAGAAAAACGGAGAAAATTTTAGTAATAATATTCACTAACACAATTGTGTGGACTTCTAAAAATGAGACATCGTCACCATGTTGCGTTGGCAGAGTCAGTGAAAAGCAATAAAAAAAAACATCTTATTTCTTCATCCCAAAGTGAGAAACTCGTGTTGGGATTTATTATTAAACATGATAGGATTTTAACTGTTTCTTTTTCTTTCTTTCATTATCCGCTTCTCTTTCTGTCTTGATAAGATGCCAACTTTTTTTTAGATCTGAATACTTTTCATTGAAAATGCTTGCGACTTGAGCTAAATGTGGGGATCATTCTTCGCCAAAAAACGTCAACGTAACATTCTTTCTAATTTTTTTTGTCTGAATAATGTGAACATTGCTATTTTCGACAATTATTTAGCTATGTTATTTTATGGTGGAAGTTTGACAATTTAGATTTATTGGAGTCAAATCGTAGCATTAAAATATAAAAATAGAAGCAAATTTACTTGTTATGAGTTTATCTTGATATTGTTTTGTCTGATAAATTTATTGCGAAAATAAAAAGAGTGTGAAACAAGCATATCTACTTTATGCTCGAATCCAATACACTTACATCATAAGCTTTCCTATATATAAAAATGTTTTCTCGTCTCCCTTTTTATAAAAAGTGTAATTTTAGTTAAAACAAAGTTCAACGGCTCATCTGCAACATTTCTTTTCTGAGAACAACTTTTTTTTATTATTACAGGAAAGCAAGCAAAAAACAGAAACGACAAGGAAACCAAAAATTTTAGAGGAAAAAATCTGAGTATTCGTTCAGTGCTCTCCTTGAATGATTAATGCGTCTTTAGAACTTCTTTTTTTATAAATTAAATTTACATTTGCATTTTACTAAATATTTTTACAAGCTTCAACAGAAATTAAAAAGTGACAGCGATCAAAACAATTTTATTAAAGAAATTTTTTAATAACAAACGCCCAATCAAGCCTTTCGCTTCCGTTTTAATGTCTAAGCCAATATCAGAAATTTAATGTTTTCACCCCGTACATCCCGTGTCATGTAATTCAATCCCTCTCAATCCTTTCTCTTCGTTTTCTTTCCTGTTGTCGCTTTCTTTACGTTTCTCTCTTCGTAAATTTTAATATTCAAAATTTCCTGTCTAATTCTCTTCAGACTGAAGAGTGCCATTATGAAACATTTTAATATCTGCTGTGGTTTCCCTTTCGAAGAAGAATCATGAAGTTTTATTTCAAAAGAAAATGAAATAAAAACAAACTAAAAACCTTGCCATTATAAAGTCTGCTTATTTTGTTTTAAATTGCAAAAATCACAAATATTTTTCTCCGTTTTTGTATATTTTCATACTTTCTTAAGCTCACCATGATAGAAAACATGACTTGCTCATATTTATGTATGTAAAAATTATTTTTCTTGCGAGCAAAAATAGATTGTAAAGTGTTTTGTAAACTGCATTTTTTAATTATAATTTTTTTCAGTCTACAAATTGTTGTTTTTTTCGAGACATAAGTTTGATTTCTTAAAGATATCAAAAGATTATTCAATACATTCAGTAACAGGTTACTAAATTTATAAAACAGCCCATCATCTTTCACCCAAGCATAAAGAAAATCGAATAAATAGCCGCAATAGCATCATTACAGCGCATTCTCTTCAAAGAAATGTTTGAGGTATTTGGAAATAATTAAAATGCTAACAATGATCAAAACTACTTCAATGGAGTTTAATGGAGAGCAACAGAAAAAAAATTAAAAAAAAACTTGTAGTAAAATAAAATGTATAAATTTATGACAAGACCAAATTAGTTGTTTAAACTTACCCAAATTGATTCTGTAAAACAGGATATGCAGTTCTCAGTCCAGCAGCAGCAGCTGCAGCAAATGGAAATCCTGTAAAGAAAATTTATAATTTATTAATGGATAAGTTAAGAAACGATTTTTCATGCAAATTGATTTATAATGTTACAGTGAACAAACTCAATCAATTATTTTGTGACTGTGAAACATTCAAATGAAAGGACACAAGAAGTCATTTGACTGATGACACCACTCGAACCTTCATTTATTTTTATGGCTTATACGTGGAACACATTCATTAGTCGATTTTTCAACACTTTCATATGAAAACAAAAAAAAAATCTCTCCGTAAAAAATGAAATGAAATGTTGCTACGCAATGTGTTGTTCGAGGTTCAAACTTTTTTCTGCCACTTTCCTACACTCTTTGTAATGAATTTCTCATAATTTTATAGAAAAACGCGTTCAGAGCGATGAATAAAGCATTTAGTAAAGACTAAAATTGTATATTTTATTTATAAAAAACATACGAGGGCTTTGAGGAAATTAAAGCGAAGTAACCAAAAGTCATTCCAATCAAATCGGTCGTTAAATGAATTCATTAAACTTTTTTTCTTTCATATGTATAGTTAAAAGAATCTTCCAACTGAAACCTTACAAGCAAACGAAGCAATGAAAAAGCCACAAATAAATACTCGCAAATGAAAAATAAAATAATTTTATAAATTCATCAGATTTAATAAATTTTATACGCCACGATATTAAATTTTAAAAGTTGAAATGTTTGCAATCGTAAAATTATGTTTTCAAGTTTTTTAAAAATATCAAATAAAATCTACGATTTCTTTGCATCTAAATTGATGATTCCACAATTACTGTCAAAGTTTTATATTCTCACTTGCTCTGTTTGGATATTTATTGATCACAAGTGATGCTTTTGAATATAAGAATCAATGACAAGTTGTGAAATTTAAAAATATTTCTTGATTTGAAATAATTTTAATTTGCATTTTAATATCATCTGAAATCATTTTACAGTTTCAACACCTTTATGAAAGCTTTTTTGTCTAAAATGTGATATCTTGTTTGTTTGTACATAAGCATATAGCAATTAATGTTGCGCAACGTCAAATTTTAGAAAAACCTGAATTTATATTATTGTGGAGAATGAAGAGTTTCTGTGACCGGAAACCAGTCTCAACTTCCACATGCGGAAATATTCTTTACTCCAAAACTCGTGTTAAATAGACTCGTGTGTATGTGAGTGAGTTTTTATATTGTATTAAGTGGTAAATTTAAGTACTTTGCATAAAAACGTTCAAACAGTTTCATGTCAATTTACATTTTTTCTGTTTGATCGTGAACGTTGAAGCGACAAAAACAAAGATTATTCCCATTCGAGTTCACGGTTCGATGGTAAAGCAGACGACACGACGACAACATGAAATGTCTTCAGCTTGCATTCCATGCTCCATATGGTTAAAACAACGAATGAATAAAGGAGTGCTGAAGATGCATTTATGGTGATAGCCATCAAAGTTCAAAGGGAAATTGCAATTTTCCGAATCATAAAGAAATAATTAAATCAAAAGAAAGAAATGAACAACGATCGGTAATATAAGAAAACGATCATCATTGTTTTTTTCCACTTTTTCCTAATTTAACCCGAGCACAATGAATATGTAATTATCTGCTAGCCCCGCTTGTAATTATTTTTTTTGCATACTTTTTCCGTGTTACTTATACAGAACAAACACACAAACACATGGTCGGTCGGTAATAAAGCATATGTAGGTATTTGGATGAAGTGAAGAAAGATTCATTCGAAAAATCGTTCGACGACTGTAACAATAACATTGAAAAAAATCTTTTTTTATTAGCTCATCTTTTTTATTTATTTCAGGTTCACTCATTAGTGCGTGAATGAATTTTGCGCAAATCTTAATCGCCATGTCTTTTTCCGGAACTAGCGTGCTTTTCATAAAGATAAATGAGCTTCCAAATAGTTAGTGAAAGATCAGAAATCGCTGGAAAATTGTTCGAGTGTGGTAAAGTGAACAGAACACCCGAAGCAAGCCTAGTCGACTGCTTAACTCGCCTTAATGTCTCTGTGTTTCATCTGTTTACATTAATGTCGTCGTTTATCGTTTTTTCCTAAACTTTTTTTCATGTTCTTTCTTTTTGTGTTTTATGTCTACAATAATTTTTGAAGAATTTCAATGAGAAAACTCGATCACCGTGCGACTGGAGAACATATGTTCTAATAATCAACAACGGTGGGGGCGCATACTGTGAAGCGAGTTAAAATAATTACGAAGAAACCCCGTCTGGAGGCTTCTCAACAAAGAGAATAAATTTTAAGAGAAACTGTGTTATTGATACAAGCACCGTGACTTGAAATTGAGTCTCAAACTTTAGAAAAACTTTCAGTTGATTAGAAATATCTTTAAAAAAAACTCACCTTGTGTTAAATTACCACGAGGTTTTGCACCTAATATTGCCAAATTAACATTTGCTTTTCGTCCATCGATAATGGGATTAGGATCCTTACATGCACGTTCAGCACTTAATCTATCACCCATGATAACCTTTTAACAACAAAATAAATGAAATTATCTTCTGATTTCAAGATTAGATTTGAGTTTGAACTTACAAAACCATAACCGCGACTTTTATTTGTCTGTCGATCAGTTATAACAACAGCTTCTTCTATATCACCATAAACTGAGAAGTGTTCTCGCAAACTCTTATCTGTCGTATGATATGGCAACCCACCGACAAATAATTTAGTCCACGTTGTGTCTTTTTGTTGCTGTTGTGCGGCAGCAACTTGTGCAGCTTGAGTTGCTTGCTGAACAGACGGAGTTGTACCAGCAACTGGTGAATTGCATGCAACAAGGCCAGCAACTAATGCGGCTTCAGCTTCAGGTCCAACTTGCATCAACATCTTTTCCCTTGTTAAGTTTTTATTGCAAATCTAACGATGAAAGAGAAGGAAAAAGGATAAATATTAATAAAATGACTCATCGCATTAACATTTACACTTTTTCTTCATCAAGTATTATGTAAAGTAAACCTGAAATGCAAACAAAGGGAAAGTTTCCCCTTTTCTTCCAAGCACGCAAAATTTATTCAAAAAATCATTTTCCTTCTGTGGATACATGACGATAACGGTGATTATTCTTAGACCGCAGTCTTCGTATCCGTTTAGATTTCCTTCTCAACTTTTCAATATTCTTTTTCAACCCCACGAAATCAATGAAATAATGGAATGAAACGCTTCGCAAAATCTAAATTCAATTCATTCTTTGCACACAAACACATTTGAAGTTCCAAACAACTGAATGTAATATTTATGACATTCTGCCTGTTTTCTTTCATCCAGCCAACAACTCAGGGGGTGATTTAATTCTTTTAAAATTCCATACGCGAACCTTACAACTGCTTGCTGCTGCCAAAGCATCAATAATTTTTATAGTTTATATTTTTTTAACGTCATTAAATTGAATTCCAGCCGACTACAAGAGGATATTTTTCGCTCAAAATAGGATCAGAATTTTATGAAATTATTTTCAGTCATTATTATCCTCGTCTTCCCTCTTTTTCATGTTTTATTATTAATAAAAATTTACTTTCTTTTATCCTCTTACAATTTTATAAATTCAGCTTACATCACAAGTAAAATTAGGCATCTGTGTCAAATCAAAAATGTCTTTGTGATCATGAGCAAACACACAACTTATGGACTTTACTAGATGTTTAATGATAAAGTTTCGCACTTTCCATTGCTATCATGAAGAACATAAAAATATTTTTTACAATTTCTGTGGCAACAGCAAACTTCAGAATATTTAGAATGTTAAAAATTTCCCTCGTGGGAGATGTCTTTGTTCTACTCTTTTTGTTTTCTATCTCGAGTGGGGATTTCAAAGAGACATACAATTAATAAAAACGATGGGAAGGCAAAAAGTGATGAAGCAACAAAGGACAATGACTTCTTCAAAACAAAATCGTAATAATCAATAAACTTTAATCTTTATTTCCTGAGTAATTTAGCGCTAAAACAAAAGAAATGTCGATAATGAATCAATAAAAAATTGAATTTTGTATCATCTGCAAACATGAACCACCTGGGAAGAGGCCCTAAAGCAGGCAACATGAATTAAGAACGCACGAAAGTAAACAGTAAAAAGGAATTGAAAAATGAAAGTCAATGTGCATCATGACGACGTGTTCGATAGTTTTTTGTAGTCTTTAAACTTTTATTTTTACAATAAAACACAATTGATATCGAGGACAAAGATCCTTTGCAAATTGGTGTAGGAATTGAGTCGAAAAACTCGTTTTTTTGTCAAACTCAACAAACAATTGGTTTCCAGTTGCTTGCTGGCGAAAGACTTACATCAGTCAAAGGCAATCAGAGCCCCGAAAAAAGTTGAATTTTTCATTGCACTGCAATAGACACAAGCAACATTGAATTTAAATGGATATGAGCAGCTGCGATACGTTCAACACTCGACCCAAAAGTAAAAAAGAAATGAAAATTGAAAACAATGAAAACGAGGGGATGGAATAATAAAAAGAAGATGTTTATGGATACCATAGATGTTCGTATAATAGAAAAAGAAAACTTTTCATTTAAAGGTCTAGTTAGTATAAAATCTGGACGATCAACAAAAGTTTTAAAATTTCATAGTCAATAATTCATTATTTCAAACAGAAGTGAGAAATTTTCGCCTTCATATTTCATGTTGACTACAAACTACTTAATAGTATTAATAAAAGAATGTTTATCGGAATTGATAAAATTTCAATTAAATAGTTGAATTATTTCAAATATCTATAAATTACGTGAAATTGGTAACTACGAACGATATAAAAGTTTCTCCTTCCATTCACGAATTCCTTTCTTTGTCATGTACGAATTTTGTAATTTTAATGAAAAGCATAAAGCGCATATTACGCATCAAGCATGTTGCTTGTTCAACTTCGTTTTAGATTGAAACAGAATAATGCAGAGGGTTGAAAATTCAAAACAAAAAAAAAGCAGAATGAGAAATTTCTCTTTTTTATTATGTAAATTCAACTCCCTTACTGTTGGTATATAAACTTAAAAACCAATTGTTGGAAAGCAGCTTTCTAAAGCAAGATAATTAATAGATTTTAAGGGCACTCTCGCGAGGAAATTGAAAGAATTTTTACAAATGCAATTCCAATGGCGAAACCCATATTGTACTCGAAACCGGAAAATAATTAATGCCACTACAACTAGTTAGCTACCACCCGATGATTTTAAAACGAAAAGCATGAGCAGATGGATGAAATAAATTACAAATTTTTATTGTTTTTAACGAAAATTTTTTTTTTTTTGTCAAGGTTTTGAAGCAGAGACGACGAAGATATAAAAAAGTATTCTTCAGGTGCTCACGTTAAACTTACATTTCGAAATTACTTCGAATTAAAGCACACATGGGATCAACTCACTAGGAAGTTATATTTAAAATTGAAACGATTTTGAATTTCTGTAATAAATGCACAGAATATCATAAAATGGAAACATGAGTGTGACTAAGTAAGTAAATTGCTTCTGGTCGTGACACATTTTCAATTTTCCCGTTTTCGCTTTTCTCCCAAATTGTTTGACAAACATAAATTGTTTCCAGATCATCTGAGAATGTGTGAATTATTATTTATAGATCATTTTCAACAGATCAGCAAGGAATAAAAACTGAAGTACAAGACGATGTGAATCATAATTTTTCTATTTTTATGGTAACAGCATTCAGCGATAAAGCACACACTAACACGTACATCTCGTCGTATTAAATCTTGATCGTTAATCGGAAGCAACGGGAAGAAAATAATTTATAAGGGGTGGAAAAGCGTCAAATGAACTGTGCAGTAAAAAAAACTAAACTTCCATTTGAATCTTGAAAGGTTCATCGAGAAAGAAAAATCGTAAAAATGCATTTTCATCCAAAGTTGTTACTTGTGGGGTTCGTTTTCTTTTTTTATTTCATCTGATCTGTGAAAACTCCTAAGAGGTAATCTGTGTATTAAAAGTGATTTTAACTTGCTTCACTCTCGCACACTCTCATTTTCAGAACACTGAAAAGGACGATGTAGATGTCAAACATTAAAAGCTTATGATCTGAAGGTCTTCTTACAGAATTATTGACAGTATACAATGTACAATGCAGAATGTATCTAAAACAGAAATTGAATTTATTTACGCGTGTATGTTGTGTTGCCTTTTTTCAACTGTCTTCTCTACGCTTCTTTGGTAAGGGGTGAATATTCACCTCACGTTTAACAACACATTCACATAGAAAAGAGCGCTTTATGCTTGGGGGAATCATACGGTACACATTAAACATGAATAACTCGAAAATGTTAAGGTCGGAACAAAAGATACTGAAAAAATGTATAAAGTTTTAGGCATTAGAAATATTCGAATGCAGGGCGAAATATCCGCAATCTATTACAGATTATTAATTTTCATTGAATGCTATTTCTTGCTTACGCTTACACGAAATGTGAGTGAACTGAATAGCAATAAAATCCATTTGGGGTAAATCTGAAGAAAGATTCTATCATGCAATTGTTTCTCAAACAATCTGTTAATTATTTTACCTGGTGAATCAAGTGGAAACGAGATGAAATGCATTCTTATAAATATAAATCACAACATCGTCGTTCAGCTGAAAATATCTGCTGATTTTAATTACATCAACGACGTCCGTATGAGCGCTTTTTCGTTTATTGTTTAATCTCCCTACATTGACGCTTGATTAATCATTTTTATATTTTTGCTAGGGTGGAGTAAAATTCAATAGATAATGTAACCGTCTAATGAATACTACTCACTAAGAGAGGAAAAGGTTTTTGTAAATTTAGTTACAAATTTATTACCTTACTTCATAGGAAATTGTATCAATTTGTTGAAAAGCACTTTTCCGATTGAATGTGGGGGCAGTAAAGTTCTGATTTTCTTAAATGATATATCGCTTTTGTAATCTCTTGGAAAAGAGGAAAACTTTACATGAAAAATGAGCATAATATTTTCCCCCCTTAGGTATCTTAGACATGGAAGGAACAAATCACGAAGCTTCATCACATTTAAAATCTCTTCTTTGTGTCTTTTGTTTTCAGATTTTTATTAAAAACCATTGAAAGCTTTTGCTTTTTGTAGAATTTCTTAAACAATTTATACACAATAAGAGAATTCAGGAACGTATTGTATGGTCAGAGTAAAAGTGAATGAGAATCTTTAGAAATTCGGGGTGCAGCATCAAGCGTTACTAATTCGATTTCCCCTTGAAAACCGAGGGTTTTGATTTGTCGACCATTTTTTGCATCGTTTTAATACTCATCAGACAAGCTTCAATCCCGAATGGAAGAGGAAAAACTTTTTTTTTCACGGCTGTACGTACACGAGCGATTTCATCAAGTAGATTTTTAAGGAAATCAAGTAAATGGTAATTAAAGGAGGATATTAAATAACAAAAAATCTAGAGAGGGGAAAACTGTCACTACCAACAACATATAAAAGTTTCACTCGCACTTCAATGTTTGTTACAAACGTGATTAATAGCAAAGTGATGAGATGAAAAAAGAAATTCTCGACTGTTCATTTAAACCAAAGAGTGTCATCACTAATTGAAAAATAATAGCAGAATCTTGGCTATCAAATGAAGCCATTGTTTATAGACACAATGTATTAAATAGAGTTCTCTAACATTAATATAAAAACCTCTCATTTCCTAATCTTTCCGCATCATTACATCGTCTGTCCAGATAAAGTTCCATAAATAATAAAAAAAATTATCGCGAGTTTTCAGCACACGATTGCCAGAAGATATGGCAATGTTAATTTAATTTCACCCTTTGATCGAATAAGAAATGATTATGCAAAATTATTTCCCCTTTAAAAGTGCTTAAGTAAAAGTTGAAGAATGCTTGTTTATGTCTATTTTGGTGATTAAAGTTTGCTTCTTTTTCTTCATCCTCCCGACTCTCGATTCTCATCGTTTATTTTTATCATCACCAGTTTTGCGTTTTAAATTTACTTTCTGCTCGGCTTTATGTAAATATGTATACATGAAAATATTTTCCTGTAACCCTATTATTCCAGCTTTCCCTTTTTTTAAGGGTAGAATGAATGCCAGAAGCGTGAAAGACATGAAAAAGATACGATTTCAATGAACAGATAGAACACAACAAATGTGAGTAAGTGCAATGTTATCATCATTAGAAGACGTTGCTACGTTGATACTAAACTGACTTATAAATCATGCGAATTTTTCTCCTTTTGATATCTTCAAATTTATAACCAAATGTATTGACAATTTTTATGATTCACATAAAATAAGCAAGAAAAATTACGACTAGTGCAATGTCATCATCGTGAATAAGATTTTAGAGTCAAAACGAATAAGAAAAATCTCAAAAATAAGAAATTCTCAATAGTTTCATACATAAAAATTATGGAAAATCATGACAAACAAAAAATTTGTTTCTGATTTCCTTACTCGCATGTTTATTTTTGTTCCCCTAAAAATCTCGTAAATGAAAAAGGGAAGCGTAATCTTCATAAGTCGTGTGTTGGGGAGATGAAAAATCTTAATTTTATTGCGAATTGCTTATCATGATTAATGCACTTTGTCACTTATTTTACGGAAACTGAATTCAGGATTTAGTCGAGAGAAATCAAATACAGCTCACACACATGTGTGATCATTACGTTGATTTATGGGTGAATTTTATTTTTCTGCTTGATACAGAAAATGACAAATGCAGTTATGCTGGTCTGAATTTTAGTAGTGATTCATTTATTTTTTATTTCAAAACCTTCATGGCAATGCTCAAGTCCATCAAGTGCATTTTGCCTTGAAGTGGATTCATCTGAATGAAACGACAAGTTGTTCAATGGTTATGGTGGTTTTAGGGACAAGTGTCTTGAATTTTTCGTTTTTATTTTGTCTTGTGAAATAAACGCCCACACATGAAATGTAAAATCATAAGAAAATGTGAAATTAAATTATCAAACGTATTTTACGTCTTTTCTTTTGTAAGCAAATGCAAATTTATGAAGCAGTAAACCGTTTAAAGTGACCCCTCAAATGTGAAACTTATCAGTGAACCATTTCAAGGATCCTCGTCACGGCCTGAAGCAGCCGTGTAATTATAATTTTGTTCTTATCCGATGCGGTCATTAATCACACATGTGCTACGTTACGTTGAATATTTCCACACACAACCGAAATCGCTTCCAATTGCTCAAAATATGTTACCATTGCCATATGTCGATAAATACACACATCATTACAATATGGATTTAACAACATCAACTCTCAATGATTCCATTACCGCAAAGTGGAGTTTTCTTCTCTTTTATTTTTCACACATCACAAAACAATAAAACTTCTTAGGACAAGAACATTCAGATTTTTCCACTGTTGCTTTGTTCTTTGTTTTTGTTTTTTGGCGAAAAGACATCGCAAGTGATGATGGAGAGAAAGGAGATGAAGAAGAAGAAGCCAGAAATAAAATGAATTGTATAACAATTCAGATGCAGATGAGCATGGAATTATAAGGGGATGCTGATGGAAATAATATATCTGCGTAAGAGAACGAACGAGAGCGAATAATATAGCAACAATGCGAGATAAAAAGTGGTCCATTCCCAACATTATTGCGTTGTGAATAAATTGACGACAAAGAAACGTACACAAAATCGACGAGGGTGAATTTTCCATTCAACACATACACAAAACAAAATTTCTTTGTTGAGTTTTGCCTCGTTGGAAATTCAGTCAGTTTACTGTACTTTGACATCGCAACCCTCCCCTAACTTTTAGAGAAAAGTATTTTTCGTGAATCTTTCTAGCTCCCTTCGCTTTCTGTTTTGCTTCTGATTCAGTCGGGAAATACGTTTTTTGTGTGTGCTGTTATTGTTTATGTATCAAACAGCTTTTTTTCCTCTCTTTCATCAAACGAAACAGCAGTGAAGAATAAATAAAATGGTGTAGACTAAATATTTTGAACTATCGTATTGAAAAATCGCCACCGTAACAGTTTCACAACAAATCATCATTTTAAAAAAATCTCCCGATCTTGAAGATAAGAGCATGTGTATGTTGGAAATTTCAAATGAAATAATGTTGAAAGAGTTTCAACAGAACACACAAACACACATAAAAATTAGGATATTTTTCATGTTTAATCGAATTTCCTGCTTTTCCTTGTCCCCTTCTATTTCGTCTCAATTTTGCACGCGAGTGACAGGAAATTCCACACACAATATTCACTGAAGAAAAGCTTTCATTGTGTGTCATAAATTTATTGCAGAATATTCATTCAGTTACTAAACAGATAACAGATATAAATTTGTTTGAGTTGTTAATAACAATAACAATAATTAAAATAACCTTTAATTTGTGTACTAACATGATCTGAGATCATAACATGAAAGGATCCTTGCAAGTATTTCATAAACACAACTTGGTGAGATTGAAGACACAACAAAAAAAATAAAAACATCTGGTCGCAGCATTTTTACAATGAGGGGGCCCCAAGACAACGTCGAAGAGTAAATACAACAACAAAAAAGTAAAAGACATCCACCGAAAACTAAAATTTCTCGCATATATATCAGAAATATATGGCTTTATGCTGTAATCTATGCTGCTTATGTATGCCCAATATGCGCTCAATTTGAAGAAGGCAGGCAAGTGAGAAGGAAATATAGTTTGGAATAATTCATTTACGAAAATTAGGCAGTTTCGAGGCTTGCTTAAATGCGTTATGCTTGATGGGCACACACGAGAACATTAACCATATAATATATGAAGAAAATACAAATTAAAATGCAGCATGTGCGAGTTGAAACGAAAACCTCACTCATAAACGCAGCCCTCACAACCCATTGAAATGCTTTGTAGCGCTTATGTTGTGAAGTATTTGAAATTGTTGTTTGATATTATAAATTCTGTTATTTCAATTCCTCACTTTAAAATTTAATTTAATTTCTCGGAGTATTTTCTTCATGATCCAAATAATTTTTAAACATTAAGAAATTAATATATATGAGTAATTAAATGAAAAACAATATTTACATATTTTTAAATACTATTTGGGTGATTTTAAATTTAAGAGGCCACAGTCAGAAGTCATTTATGTAGGGCTTTGAACGTTTTTTTAATGTTTAGAACGGTTTTCTACTTGCGCTTTAGATATGATCTAAGTAACTATCGATGAATTTTGATTGAAGATAAGTTTCTTAATCTAAAACAATTCTACGTAGATTTCAAGAACTATTAAATGTAATTACCTTATATTGTTGAATTAAACTCTTACGTAAGTTATCCTTACTAATAGTGCGTTTTATGATGTGATGGTAATCCACAATGTTTACTCGTATCTTGTAAATCGGATTTACCAATGAGTCATCAATTTTTTAAATATTACTTTGAACAATTATCCTTTTGAAGGTCTCAAAATATTTCACAAATACTTTTTTTTGCTTTTGTCGATCAAAAAAACGATCACTTCTTGAAACTGTTCAGTCTATGCAATTTTAATAGATAGATTTTAATAGTTTCAAGATTTTATTTAACAAATTGAGAAATAAACTTATATTTCTATTTAATAATGAGGATAACACAAGGACTTGAGCTGAAATAATTAAATAATTTCGAGCACGATTCAAAAACACGTCTATTCAGTAAGAGAACTGTGAACTAAACTGAAATTTCTTCGTCTCAGTTAACCTGAACTTCTACACTTCATGTTTTTGAGAAAAACTTGGATCATGTTTCTCATTTAATAAAATAGATGGCGTCACTTTTCGCTTTTTTCTCCCTTTTTTCCCCTTTCATGTTTTTATACCCCCTTTAGATTTAAAAAAATGAAAGCTTCATACCACCTTTGCTTACAAACTTGCACAGGGTTTTTGTTTATGATGTCTCGAGATAATTGCCTCGTGCCCCGACGGTTCGCGCGGATTTGACCTTCCATACNAACCTGAACTTCTACACTTCATGTTTTTGAGAAAAACTTGGATCATGTTTCTCATTTAATAAAATAGATGGCGTCACTTTTCGCTTTTTTTTTTCTCCCTTTTTTCCCCTTTCATGTTTTTATACCCAGATTTAAACAATTTTTTAAAATGTTTTTTGGATACTTTTTTTAAATATCACATGGGCTTGGTCACCGTTGCTCTCGTGATGGTCACAAAATTCAAAGCTGAATATAATATGTATGGCTTGAGCTTTTACCGAAACTGCTTACACTTTTAAATAGGACTTACCAAGTACTATTTTTAGAAAGAAAAATATAAGCGAATATCTAAGCAGAAAAAATTTTATGATGCTTTATGTACCGTTGCTATCGTTCACTTTTTAACCACCACTTTTCACATGCAATTTTCAACTTCAAAAATTTCTAAAAGTATTTGAGTGGAAAATCTGAAAAACTCAGGAGATGTTGAGGAACTAATAAAGATTGATTTCTGAGAATTGCAAGAAGTTTGAACAACTATTTTTTTTCCGGTGAATTTTCTACCAGAACCTTACCGTTGCTCTCGTTCGTTGCTATCGTGACGCTCTGAATTTGTGAATGAAAACAAAATAAAACACTTAAACTATAAGATTTAGGTACAAGGTATCTTCAGAAAAGTTGTTTCTTAATGCATTCTACAACTTTTTCTCATATGTCATATTTCATTAAAGTGACACCAGAGCGCGCTAGAGATAAAAAACGAATAAAATTGAACATACCTAATTACAGCTTGAACTATAAGGTTTAGGTATAAGACATGTTCGAGAAAGTTGTTCCTTGATAACTGATGCAACTTTTCTCATCACATTATATTTCAATTGAGTGTCACCAGAGGGCATTAGAGGTGCATTAATTAAAAAATCACCTCTATCGCCCTCTATTGTCACCTAAACGAACTATGGTGTACAAAAGAAAGTTGTTACAGGTATCAAGGAACAACTTTGCCAAACACATCTTATACCTAAATCTTGTAGTTTAAGCTTAAATTAAGCTTTTTCAATTTTCCTCAGCTTTTTTATCTCCAGCGCCATCTGGTGTCAGTATATTGAAATATGACATATGAGAAAAAGTTGCGGAATTACCAAAGGAACAACTTTTCCAAAGATACCTTTTACC